AGCTGGGAACACAGGCACCCGCCACAACGCCCGGCTATTTTTTGGTTGCAGCCGTCATTGTTGTTTGGCGGGTCTGGGCTGGATTCGAACCCTCCACCTTAGGTGTACGTGGCTGGCACCTTAGCCGGTTGAGCTACAGGCACTGAGCCTGTCTTTTCCTTTCATGTGTAGTAATTCTAAGCCAAATATAAAATTTATCAGCATTCATTTTGGTTTCTCTTTATTGGTGAAAAGAAGCAATGATTAGAGATAGGGAGTATTTGAAATATTTCCGTGAGTTGTTCGTCAAAGAAGATAGCACCTGCCCGTTCTGTCTATGTTTCACATGCCTTGACTGACAATTACGTAAGATACATGGGCATTTTAAAATATGAGGCATGTTTGAGTATAAATTTTGAATTTTCACTTTAGTTTTCTGCTGTTGTAGTTTGTCCCCCGTTTCCGTAAATCCCTTTTTCCGTTTCTGCCTAGGGTCTAGATGCAGATAGTCTCCGTGTGGAACCATTGGGCGAAGACAATTCTGGGGCACTCTATTGGTATTTCTATGGAACGCGAATGTACAAAGAGGACCCAGTGCAGGGAAAATCCAATGGAGAACTCTCCTTGAGCAGGTATCTTCCTTAATGTTGAGGCTATTATACAAAAATATCGTTAAAATTGACTGTATCAGAATTCCACAGCACACATTTTTTTGCCTAATGAAGAAATTAGCTTGTATCGATATGCCTACAGAAAGATGTCCAGGAGTTAACTTTATGTAAAAATAAATAATCCTCTTCTACCGTCCTTTTGGTCTGAAGTTTTTCATAGGAGGTTCCTAAGGGGCACCACTACCCTTACCACAGTCTGTACTGCTGAAAAGAAACCTGCTGTGTGAATCAGTCATTTTCACTGTAGTGGTTTTCATCTCTCATGGTCAATCTTTGAGAACTCCTTTTTTTAAATTTTTTTTTACTATGATTGCTGATCTGCTTTGTGAACCTTAGGAACAAGAGAGCCTTCACTGATGCCTGAAATATAAACTGCACTGAGTGCTTTCTGAAAGAGGATGAGGCCTCATTTCCATAACATCCTAGAAGGTTGCTAACCTCTTACTTAGGCTTTTTTATTGCCTAATTTTTATTAGGAAGGTGTTAGATCTTAAGTACATTTTAAGATCACAAAATCTCAATGTTAATAATGGAGGACTAGAAGTTACTCTGTCATTTCCCTTTTACTGCTACATTTAATCGTTTTTGATAACATTATGGCCAGAAATACTATAATTACTAATTCTAAAATCATATGTTACGTGGTTTCTTTGTTTGTTTGTTTTTTGAGACAGTCTCAGGTTGTCACCCTGGGTAGAGAGCTGTGGCTCACAGCAACCTCAATCTCTTGGGCTTAAGCGATTCTCTTGCCTCAGGCTCCCAAGTAGGTAGGACTACAGGCGGCTGCCACAACGCCCAGCTATTTTTCTTGTTGGAGTTGTCATTGTTTTAGCCTCAGTAGGGTCCTTTAGCCAGTGCCCTACCCACTGAGCTACAGGCACTACCTCTATTTTTAATAATAATGCTATTTTTTAGGGAAAATGAAGGACAAAAAAATGTCTCGAGTATTCCTGGAAAAACAGGAAAAAGAAGAGGCAGACCCCCCAAACGGAAGAAACTACAGGAGGAAATTATACTGAGGTAAGAAAATCTTGTTAGTCTGTTGTCATGGAAGGGTCATGTTGGAAGGGACCTCAATTTTCAATGTTCCTTAATCCTTGATTTTTACCTGTGCCCTGGGAAGCACAAGAGTCTTATATTTTACAAACCTGAATCAGAGTCCTCATGAAATTACCAAGTGTGCACTGAGAAATCAGAAGGCCCTTGGCTGCATGACCTCTATCTAGCAAATACCTGTGCTCACTAAGCATGTTCTTTTATTGGGCTATGGATATGCATTTAATGAGGATTACATTGAAAAGATGATATGATGTGTTCAATATGTTAATTTGTAAAATTTGTTACACCATACCTTTTTCACAGGAGGCGGGGAGCAAGTTACTTCTGTAGTTAAGTGTTGATTAATCAGTATTTTGACAGAATGGTATGTCATATCTGAGTTTAGGAATTCTTTCCTATTAAGGAGAATTCAGTAATTAACATGCTGAAACATGCTATATTTTGAGTTTAATGCAGTTTCCTATAATAAAGAAAAGATGAGGCTCGGCACCTGTGGCTCAAGCGGCTAAGGCACCAGCCACATACACTTAAGGTGGCAGGTTCGAATCCAGCCCGGGCCCGCCAAACAACAATAATGGCTGCAACAAAAAAATAGCCGGGCGTTGTGGTGGGCGCCTGTGGTCCCAGCTACT